GGAGCCTCGTCCGCCTCAGCATCCGAATCTTCGGGCGGGTGGGGGCCCACGCGAGCTCTGATGCCGACCTGGATATTTTTCTCATTTTGCTTAGAAATAGCATAATAACTAATTGCCTACAGCTTCGGTGCTCCATAGAGAGTAGTTGGAGCAATGATGACATATCCGTAAATAAATTTCTTAAAAATAGCTCTCACAATTCTAGATATATAGATTTGACGGTTATGAGGTGTTCCACACCAAAAATTATAATTAACTTTGGGTAAAAATGTTATTTTAGGAAATATAATTTATGGGAGAAACATAATTTATCATTAATTAGAATTCTTTAATTAACTATTAAAACCGAAGCTTTTCTCCACACTTTCCATTAGAAGAAACCGGTCAGACTCAAAATCTCGTGAAGAGAAAGAAAACGCCATGAAAGGTACCTCTTATTTTTCCTTTTTTTAAAATTTAATTATATAGTATGATGTAGTTGTTAAGCCCTTAAATTTCTCGTTCTTCAAATCAGTAATCATTTAATTATATAGTATGATGTAGTTGTTAAGCCCTTAAATTTCTCGTTCTTCAAATCAGTAATCATTCGTTTTTCTATATAAAGATAGATTTTCTCGTTCTTCAAATCAGTAATCATTCGTTTTTCTATATAAAGATAGATTTTCTTTTGGAAATAGACTGGCTGGCGTGAGGAGGGTTCAATTGGTTTCTAATTAACCACATTCGTGAGATTGAGAAGTAAATTTGATTGAATGGAAAAAAATTACAAACCGTGCATGACATGTATTTTCTATCAGTATGCAAAAAATAAGAGAAACTACAAGTAAGAAAATTCAACTGGTTCTTTTATTTTTTTTCCCTTTTTTTTCTTTTGTGCGGGTGGAACTGAGACGTGAGATTGAGAAAGATTTTTGAAAGACTAAAGTACCCTTTCTTATTTTAGCTAATTTGTTATTTTTGTTAATTTAAAAATTAAAAAAAAAAACCTATTTTTGGAGCACGGAAGCAAACCTCTTTTAACCCTTTCATTTCGTTATCCGACCTGCATAGTGTGAAAATTTTAGGGGTTTCTACATATTAGTCCATTACATATTTAATATTTTGATTTAGTCCTCAAATCATTGGCATTGCTATTACCCCCCCCTAGTTTGGTATCATGTTGCCACTACTATTACTCTATTAGATGGATAAATTTAAGGAAAATTTGTTTCAAGGCCCCAAAACCCAAAAAGTTATGTTCCCCAACCCCTCATACTTTTTGTAATGTGCTGCAGCCCCCAAAATTTAAAAAAATTATACCTCAGCCCCTCCAGCTCATGATTAGCCAACATTTCACCTAAAAACCCAATTTTAACCCTCTTCTCTTTCTCCCTCTCCTTCTCCTTCCTCATCCTCTTCACTGTTATCTTCTCCGATTCCGGGACCACGCCTCTCATCTCGAACTCGCTGTTAAAGTTAACGGCAAAGATGGAGGGGCTTCGTCATCGAAGCTTGGTGAGGGTTCTGCTTTTTTTTCTCAACTAAAGTTAGGGTTTTTGTCGACCTTTTCTTAGATAAAACTAGATCCGATCCGGAGATATAAAAATCACATTTTTTATGTTTATTTTTTGGCAAAGGTTGGTTCTTTTGGGGAGTAGAAGCTCAAAATTTCGAGGAAATAGAACATAGAAATGTCTTGTTGTTATTCTCCATAGAAATAATGTTGACCACGGAGCAGAGTCCAAAATTGAGAAATCCTCATTGATTGAGATCTTGCAACATTTTGATGGAGTGCTCAAAATTGAGAAATCCCCTCAACTCTGAAAAACGATGCCTCTGCATCATCCAAATTCTCAATCAGAAGCTGAATATACCCCAACTTCTAGATAAGCACCTTATCCGTCGAATCCGAGTCCAAAACCTCCCGAATCAGCGAAAAGCACACATCAAACTCCTAATGAGCAAAATGATTACAACCGATCAAGCTCAAAACGAAAACCTCCATCCTCCTCCAACACTCAGACTCCTCTAATCCCTCTTGAACCCTCACGCTCACAACCTCAACAAAGCTCCTAGATAATATTTATAGAGAGAGATAACATCCACAACAAAATACATAGTGTGCTTTATAATAAGAATCCGACACCGAGACTTAATCTAAACCAGTCACAGAGCACCATGAGAATCAAATTTGAGCACTCCATCAAAATGTTGCAAGATCTCAATCAATGGGGATTTCTCAATTTTGGACTCTGCTCCGTGGTCAACATCATTTCTTATGGAGAATAACAACAGGACATTTCTATGTTCTATTTCCTCAAAATTTCGAGCTTCTACTCCCCAAAAGAATGAACCTTTGCCAAAAATAAACATAAAAATGTGATTTTTATCTTCAGATCCAGTTTTATCTAAGAAAATGTCGACAAAAACCCTAACTTTAGTTGACAAAAACAGGCAGAACCCTCACCAAGCTTCAATGACGATGCCCCCCGATCTCGGTCGTTAACTTTAACGGCGAGTTCGAGATGCGAGGCGTGGTCCCAAAGTTGGAGAAGATAACAGTGAAGAGGATGAGGAAGGAGAAGGAGAAAGAGAAGAGGGGTAAAATTGGGTTTTTAGGTAAAATGTTTGCTAATCATGAGCTGGCGGGGCTGGGGCACAAATTTTTAAATTTTGGGGGTTGCAGCACATTGCAAAAAGTATGAGGCCTTAGCTATCATGGATGTTATAGTATTGATAACATGGATGTTATAGTATCGTCGGCTTTAGCTAACATGATCTAGCTCCAATAATATATATCACGCATTCCTAATTAATTTTTTTTAATTTAGGAAAAATTATCTCAAGGCCTCAAATTTTAAAAGTCAATGTGCCCCAGCCCCTTGTACTTTTTGTAATGTGCTGCAGCTCCCATAATTTAAAAAAAAATTGTATCCCAGCCCCTCCAAATCATGATTAGCAAACATTTCACCTAAAAAAACCAACTTTATCCCTCTTCTCTTTCTCTTTCTCCTTCTCCTTCTCCTTCCTCATCCTCTTCACTGTTATATTCTCTGACTTTGGGACCACGCCTCGCATCTCGAACTCGCCGTTAAAGTTAACGGCCGAGATCGGGGGCATTGTCATCGAAGCTTGGTGAGGGTTCTTCCTGTTTTTCTCAACTAAAGTTAGGGTTTTTATCGACCTTTTCTCAAATAAAACTAGATCTGGAGATAAAAATCACATTTTATGTTTATTTTTGGCAAAGGTTCGTTCTTTTGGGGAATAGAATCTCGAAATTTCGAGGAAATAGAACATAGAAATGTCCTGTTGTTATTCTCTATAAAAAATGATGTTGACCACAGAGCAGAGTCCAAAATTGAGAAATCCGCATTGATTGAGATCTTGCAACATTTTGATGGAGTGCTCAAAATTGATTCTCATGGTGCTCTGTGACTAGTTTAGGTTAAGTCTCAGTATCGGATTCTTATTATAAAGCACACTATGTATTTTACTGTGGATGTTATCTCTCTCTGTAAATATTATCTAGGAGCTTTGTTGAGGTTGTGAGGGTGAGGGTTCGAGAGGGATTGGAGGAGTTTGGGGGAGGAGGGAGGTTTTCGTTTTGAGCTCGATTGGTTATAATCATTTTGCTCATATGGAGTTTGATGTGTGCTTTTCGCTGATTCGGGAGGTTTTGGATTCGGATTCGACGGATCTGGTGTTTATCTCGAAGTTGGGGTATATTCAGCTTCAGATTGAGGATTTGGATGACGCAGAGGCGTCGTTTTTCAGAGTTGAGGGGATTTCTCAATTTCTCACATTGACTTTTAGGGGCTGTTTGGTTCGTTTCCTAGATATATGGAAATGCATTTCCATATACAAAAACACAAGTTTTGAGTTTTCCAAACTTTTCAAAAAAAATAGATTGTTTCGCATTGGTTCGCACAAAAAAAAGGTGGGAAACCAATGTATTTATTTTTCTTGTGTTTGGTTCGCATGGAAAAAAAGGGAAAACTTTTGTTTATATGACATTTCCTACTTTTCTTGTGTTTATATGACATTTCCTACTTCTGCTACAATATTTTTCACACAAAACCAACTTTTCTAAGGTCAAGCATAAACTATTTTTTCTCAAAATCCTAAATTTTAATCCAGGTAATAAAAATGTTTTAGCGGATCTCAAAATTGGTAAAAACTAATTTTTCTCAAACATGTTCATATCTGCTAAACATTTTTTTCCCTCAAAAATCTTACAAATTTAACTGAACACAAATCTCAGATCTGAATAGGATTGGCAATTATCAGATAACCCTCCACTAATTTCTCAGATAAATTAATCTAAATTAAACTAATAATCCGAAAATTAAAAAATTCAATTTTCTAACATACCCATTCAAATTTTAACAAAAAACATTCTGAAATCGTAGGAATTTTACGGAATTTTAGTATTTTGTCCATGATTGGATATCTGAAGGTTTTTAATCATCTTTTCTTATCTGTGAAATCTCAAAAAATAGGAAAATCTTTAAAATTGCTTCGAAAATCTAAAAAATTACGTAGATTAGAAACCCCCCCCAAATTCTCAGATAATTACTGAAAATTAAACTAATAATAAGAAAAATTAAAAAAAAAATCAATTTTTACCTTGATATATGAAGCAACAACGTCGGCAAAGATCAGATCTGATTATTGTCGGCAAAGATCAGACCCCTTCCCCCGAATTTCTTCGAATACAGGGACAACGAAGGTCGCAGGAGTTTCTAGCGGGAGGAGAGCAAGGAGGTAAGTATAGCTCGCCGAAGAAATTAACGAGGAAAGCAAAAAGCTGACGTGGCTGCAGTTTTCGTCGATTTCACGAGGTTAAGGAAGGAGTTGGGGGAGAAAAAAATCTGATGTGGCGGCGATTTTCATCGAGTTTTTCTTCTTCAACCTTAGCGAACCAAAGATGGGGAAAAAACCGACGGAAAGCTTATATCCTACGTGGCCATGAAAAATCTGATGTGGAGGCGGTGTAAACCTTTTCCACCGAGTTAAAAAACGAACCAAACAGCCTCTTAAAATTTGGGGCCTTGACATAGTTTTTCCTAAATTAAAAAAAAACCTAATTAGGAATGTGTATATATATTATTGGAGCTATATCATGTTAGCTAAAGCCGACGATACTATAGCATCCATGCTATCGATCTTTTAATCTTTCATCGTAGCTGGAGATGGAGATGTAGATCATTCATTATTTGCAATTGCGAATGGGAGTTTCTTCATATCCGTCATTTTGCAAATGTTAGTAAGCACGAATGATCTAAAATCCACCCTGCGCTCATGTTTTCAGATGATCCGTCATGAATGAACATTTTTTTTGGGCACGTACAAATTCACACAACACATCAACTTTGTTAAAAAATGACGATCAAAGTACATGAATTTCTTATAACACTATATTCATTTCTAAATCTATTCCTCTGTACAAACGAGAGAACCTAATATTCACTATTCATGCTACAGTAACATTTATTATGGTTTACTGTAGCATACAGGGAACGGGATACCGTTGTTTTTTGAAAAAAAAATATTACTATAGCACACAAGAACACTATAGCTTTTTTATAAAAATGTAGAAATTTTTTTAAGAATACTATAGCATTAAAAAAAGGGATTACTATAACAGGAAAAAAATGATATGTCGTGTTTTGCACGATGTTCACGACTAGTATTATTAATATAGGTGATGTGCCACAAATGTGCAACTCTGGGGTTTATTTGCAACTTAGCTTACATGCATGAAAAAGTTTGCATTTTTACCCTCTTCAACTACAATTTAGCCTCCAACCCTGGACCTGACACCATCATCAACTCCTCCTCTCTCTCCACCCAATTCTACTTAAAATCCCCTTCATCTTCCTCAAATTTCAACACCAATCCATCAATCAATTAATCGATCAAGAAATGCGTGTGATCTTTGCGTATTTGGCAGGAGACACCTCCTCGAGATCCTCTTCAATGCTGTTGAAGCCCTAATAAACAACATTCT